GGGGGGGGGGTGGAGGGATACCCGCTCCCATGGCCTGCCCGTGCCGTGGGGTGTTCTGGTAGAGGGTGGGCCGCCGCCGCCGCCGAGCTCCGTTGGGCTTGAATCAATGCTTACAACTCCCAAACCAATCCGACGGAGTGCGAAAGATGAAATGTAGGCTCTGAAGCGCGCGATCAGCCCGCGCGAACCGAGGAGGGCGTTTAGTCTGGCGCAAACCGTCCTGAGAAATGGCGACCAACCACTTTCCGCCACTTTCTCTCCGCGCATTTTACTTGCGCCCACACGACAGGAAACCGGGGCCGCGGAACGTATCACACTAGCTGTCGTGTCTCTATTTTGGGCTGGGGGAAAGTAGTTTCCAGGCAGTGTACAACAGAAGCCCGAGTCGTCAATTTGTCGCTTTTTTGAACTGCGCGCGCGGGTGCGGCCTGCGCGCGGGTGCGCGGGCGGCCTCGTGGTGGCTCGGCCGACCCGACCGGTCCGGTCATCTGCCTAATCAGGGAGGGAAGAATAATACATGGCTAAGTTTGCGCTACAAATTTTCTATTAAAACTTTGGCTGTTTGGTATACGTTTGCCTAGCCGAGCTCCGGCGCGGCGAGCGCGGCGAGCGCGGCGGCCCCGCCCGAGCTGGCAGCCCCGGCTAGGCGGGCGCGCCTTTTGGTTCGGTGCGAATCTCAGACGCATTTGCATATAAATAGCGTGACTTGGTGAGGGGGACGCGGGGAGAGAGGGGGGTGGTTGGGGTGCGAGAGGGTGGGCGCGGGTACGTCGCGAGTATAATCTCATCTGCCAGTGAAAGGCATCATTTCGTTAGGGAGGCTTTTCCATCTTGCCGGAATGCCTATTCGCCGCGGCAATCATCTACGGGCGCAGAGCGTAGCGTAGCGTGGCGTGGCGTAGCGGGCTGCGATTGGTGTGACTGGGGGAGAGGGGGACACTCCATCACCCCTTACGAGTGTGACAAACCCCCCGGAAGGTTTGGCGCGGCAGGTCGCGCCCATGCTGCTTTTCTTTTCGCCCGAGAGACTATGAGAAGAAAATGCGGCTCTACGGTACGCACGGGGGCTAACGTGTAGCTTCCTGATACTGTTTTAAAATACAAGGTGTGTGGCGGTGAAAACTTGCAATGTTTTTATGTATGTGCGTTATTTCTTTGTATATTGTGGATTTTCAGATGCACTCATTTGTATTCGATGACAAAATGAGATCTATTCCAACATCTCGTTCCTAGGGGCGTTTGTTTTCTTTTCTTTAATCTCTCGCCACATTGTTCATTTTCAGCAAAATAAGACGCTATCGGCAACAATTACAACCGACTGAACTGCCTATTTCTTTGCGTGCCTCCTCCATACAGTTAGTTCCCTCAGGTGTAATCCTCGGCCAGCCTAATGAGCACGTCAGAGCCAAAAGGAGGTGGGCGCGGGGCAGGGCGGAGCGGAGTGGG